TAGAATATGATTTATTATAAAATTTAGTAAACATTTTCTGATTTTAATAAATATTTTAAAAATACTAACTAGTTAATATTTTATTACTTGAAAAATACTTTAATTATTTTTTATAAATATTTTATTTGAAATATTAAATAGAAATTATTAATGGAATAGTTTATATTAATATACTGTATTATATTAATATAATATACTAATATATTATGTTATTAATGTACATTAGTTGACATCCTATCGACATAATAGGAAAAACTGTCTTTTTTTTGGTTATTTGGATCGATTTGGATGACATTTCCAAAATATAGGAAATGTCGACCGAAATAATGTAATTTTTATATTACCATCCATTTTCATGTTGGTGAGCCTCGACATCAACATATGTCGGGCGACATTAGCGAAATGTCGTGAAATTTGAAACCATGTTGATGGGGACATTAGGTTTTGTTTTTCAGAATATATTTTTCCCTGCTATTGCTTCCAAATTTCCTTTATCTACTACCATTTGACCCAAGGTTCTGTACCTGCTAATTAGTAATTGACTGATTGATTTACCTAGAATTTTTGTGAACAATTTATGATTATTTTTCTGAATAATTTATGAATAATCAAGTGATTTTGTTTTGTTGAGAATTCTATAGTAAAGAGGAAAGGTTTCAGATTCAAATATCAGAGGGGTTTTGTATATTGACACTGGAAATTTCATCCAGGACTGATAACTCAATAAAGAATCACTGGAACAGTTCCTTGAAGAAAAAGTTGGACTTCTATTTGGCTACTGGGAAACTTCCACCAACTCCAAAGGCTAGCACACAAAATGGTGTTAAAGATGCATCTAAACCAGCAGATACAGGAAAACCAGCTATTTTTTCTAATAAAGGACTGGACTCAACAGCCCAAGCTTCCCCAGGAATAGAAAGGGTTTGTAACTTGGAAAACTGTAAGGATCTTGTGGAATCATCAAACCAAGGATTTCTAGATATAGATGGTTCAATGGATGTACCTGTAAGTAGATTTGTTGATTCTGTTGATGCTGAAAGCAAGACAATGGCATCAAAGTTAGATACTTTCTGTGGCATAACTGATTTGACACCTAAGTTTGAGAAACACGGAAGCACTGCTAAAATTGACAATGACAACAAGGTGGCAGACACAGTGCAGTTTGAGGTTCCAACATTTGGTTCTTTATACTATGAACCACCAAAGTTGGAAAACTGTGGTATTACATCTGATTCTGTTCTCTTGAACACATATTGCTCAATGCAGCAGGGATATGACTCTAGTGCGCTTATGCCACTTGTCAGTCTCTTCACTCCACCTTGTGTGAAGGGTACTGATTTGGATGGGAAAAGCCCAGAATCTATATTAAAGAATGCTGCCAAGAGCTTCCCAAATACTCCTTCCATATTAAGAAAGAGAAAGAGAGAAGTCAATGCTGTATCATCCCATGATAGAATTGTGCAAAGAGATATGGTAAGAGCCAATAATGGTTCAAGTGCTTCTGAAGACAAAGAAAAGAGTGGGAAAAGTGCGGAACAGTCTGGATCTCTAAATGAAAGTTTATGTGAGGTTCCTGCATGCCATGGTAATGACAAAACTGAGATGTATAATGGAAAGGCTTTTAATGCCTCGCCTCCATATCGTTTAAGGTCATCAAAACGAACTGCTGTTTTCAAATCTGTGGAGAAACAACTTGACTTCACATTAGATGAAGAGAAGGTTGAAGGATTTACCAAATCTATGATCTTGGGAAACCACTGTGTTACAGAGGATTGTTCACATGCAACAAAGATGGCAGTGACCTAGTCTGCAAAATGTAAGTACATACTTGAATTTTATAACTTTGTAATTGATAGGTTTTAAATCTCCTTGGTGTATAATTTTTACTTGCACAATTTTGTGTGGATCCTTTTATGTTTTCTCTGAAAACACATGACAAGCATCTTTCCATCTTCATTTATTGATTCTTTTTTTATCAGCATCTTCATTTATCGATTCTACCTATGTGACTGTTCACATCCTACTACACATGGTACACAGATTGTGCACCTCGTTTGACAATACTAACCATCCATATGGTCTATCAGATGAATTTCATAGATTTATTCTTCTCTAAGAAAGAAAAGTTAAATGGCTTGCAAATACTTAAATTTTATATATTTATTATTTGATTTCTGTCCTAGCTACATGAACTGCAATCTGTCTATAAGATCTAAGATTCTAGCTACCTGAAAGCTTTAATGACCCTAGAAAAGATATACTCCCATGGAAATCACAAATTAAAATAATAGTCTTGTTCTATCCATTTGTAACCTAATGTTCATCGTTTAGTTATGAGAGTTCTCAAGGTTACAAGATGCATTCTTTTCTAGGCAATGAAAGTTCTTAATAGAGTATGACCTGGGATAGGAACTACGCTTGTATTATTAAAAAGAATGGTTTTTCTTTGCATGTTTTATTGAAAGTTCTAAAGTTAAGAACAGATGCATCTCATGTCATGGATGGAAATAGGGGTGAGCATTCGGTTTATTCGGTTAAAAACTGAACCGAAACCGAATTACAAGAAAACCGAAATAAACAAAACCAAAATTTTCGTTTCGGTTTTCAGTTACTTTGGTTAAAACCGAATTTAATTAATATATATATGTATAATATTATATAGTATAACCTATAATATATATTATATATTATAATATATATTATGAATTGAATTTCATTATAATACATTTATACAATATATTAGTATGTAAATATATAGCATATTATATATTGTATATTATATATTACATATTATATAATGAATTTTGGTTAATTCGGTTTTTTCGGTTAACTGAATTTTTAACTCTAAAAACTGAAATCGAAATCCGAATTACCCAAAAACCGAACCTGAAATTTTCAGTACTGTATTTCGGTTTTAACTGAATAATGCTCACTCCTAGATGGAAAGGTGGTATAGCCCCAAAAAATAGCATGCACTTTTATTTGTTGCCTGATAATTGAAATTTGTATTACCACTGAAGTAGCAACTCTAATTGTCAAAAAAGTGCAATTATTAGGTGCTTACTAAGGCATTAGAAAGATAATTAATTTTATTTCAGTGTTTCTTTAAATAAATATATGCAACCTTTGTTTTTTAGTAGAGGCAAGGGAAAGACTAAACAACACGAGGGGTGGCGCAACCCCAAGCATCCTCAATAATCGCTTTCTATTCACAGATTCATGAATTTGACCTCTCCAAGTAATTTCTTGAGAAGAATGGCCCATATTGGCTAAACTTCAATTTTTTGTTTATCTCTCTGCATAAAAGCTTTGCCTCTTATATGGCATTCCGAATGGCGCATGAGAAGACGATCCAACCCTTCAAGCAGTTAATGATCAGAAAGGAATCTCCCTCAATCATGATTCTATTGCAATCAGTACTCCTTGCCAATTTGATGGCTTCCTTCGCTGACCACACTGATGGTTGTTGTTCTTGCAATTCTCTTTACTTTACTGATGATGTGATTTCCAAGATGGTTTCTTGCAATGCACCCAATAGCTATTTCTCCTCCCTTGACTGATGCATCAAATTAGTGTGGTGCCCTCCATCCAATTAGTGTCGACTGTCGTGTGATGAAATATAAAACCTGTTTTCCAGATTTTTAATATTTGATGATAAGAAGTCAGTTCATAAGCTTGATGCATTTTCAATACATGCAGCTTGTGTCAGGAAACATTTTTGTTCGGCATGCATTTTGTTTCCCAACTGACTAGTTTTCAGTCTTTTGATTGTTTCTTGGAGCTTATGCTAGTTTTTTCTCACTTGGTGTAGTAAACAAGTTTATGAACATCTTTATATGTGCCTGACTTGTTTTCATCTTTTTATCTTTGTTTTTTTAGTGATGATAGTTGGGAGTATTCCTCAACTTGGAGACTAAAGATGTTTACTTCACCAAAAGCAATTAAATGTCTATATTTTTACAACAACGAAAAAGAGATAACCATGAATAATCTACCATCTTCATACAAAGCTTGCATTGTCATCAGCATCAACTTGTTACCAGGTAGGTTCATCTCCTTCATCAGGCAATTGTAGAATAAGGACTACAGCTCCAGGCTCCAGCATTCCTGTGAAAATATACAGATTCTTATGGGCATTGATGTATAAAAAGTCTCTCAAAAGAGAAAAAAAAAGGGCTTAGAGAGAAGTTTATCTTAAAAAGATGAATCCTTTTGAAACCAAATGTTACTCCACCCCTCCCCCTCCCCCTGGGGTGTCTCCACAAAATTCTTTTTCCTTCTTTTTCTCCTTCAACAGAGTCATATGTCAATTAGGCTTCCTTTGGTTGCCCGGAGAGAAAGAATTTTGAAATTTTCATAAGAAACTCTTAGAACAAGAATTTGTTTAAGAAAATGGATGGACTCACCCACCATGCAATTTTCTTAATTCTAAAGCTTCTGTTAAATTACGGTTATATTTTCTTTGCAGAACTATCTGGAAATGCTAGAAAGTTGAGAGTAAGTTATTTTAAGCCATGTTTGGTTCATTGCTTTGGGCCTCATTCTTTTAATTCTTGCTCATCCTGGTTAAGAATGAGCAAAAATGAATAACATTAGAGTGTTTGGTTACAAAATTCTTGCCACAGGCCATATTCTTTTTAGAATGAACAATCACCCCATAACACAAGTTGAGGTAGCCTGCATGAAAAATAATCAAGTCCCATCTTGCTCATTTTCATTCTTTGAGGAAATTTTGCCTACAAAACTGCTTCCATTGATGTTTAATAGTGCACTACTGTAGAAGTACTTACGAAAGCAATTTTATAGAAGTACTTTTACACAAAAGCACTTTTATGAAATAACTATACGAAAGCACTTTGGTAAAAGCACTTTTATGAAAATACTTTTATGGAAGCATTTTTATGAAAGCAGTTTTACGCAAGTACTTTTATAAAAGCACTTTTACGCAAGTATTTTTATAAAAGCACTTTTGTGGAAGTACTTTTATGAAAGTACTTTTACGAAAACACTTTTATAGAAATACTTTTATGAAGGCACTTTTATGAAAGTACTTTTATCAAAGTATTTATATGAAAACACTTTTGCAAAAGTACTTTTACAAAAGTGCTTTTACATAACACTTGTCAGTCTGAAAATAATCCATTTTTAGGAAAAAAGTGTTTGATTCGTAGCAATATCTTCTCATTCTGCCTATTTTTACCCATTCTTGCCCATTTTAGAATTTCATCTTGGGTAAGAATGAGAATTGAACCAAGCATGGCCAATTTTCATATTATCTTGGCAACTAAGCTTAGATACTGGATGGGTGTTGGCAATGAATATAAGGTTCTGTTTGTTTGTGGTGCATATCTGAACCGAATACAAATTTTATACCTGATTCAATTTTGCATCAATTTATTTGTAATTATGATTTGCACTTTTATCTGATACAAAAATTGTTTTTATTTTTGTCTTATTTGCACCCATTGGCAGTGGAAATTTTGCATCTTAAAAACTGGTGCAAAATTTGTATCTCCTACTTCAACTCTCTCACATATAGTGGGGACCACATCATCTTAGCTTCCTACCTCCCAAACAAATAGAGTTCAGTTTTGCTGAGACATTATTCTAATGGAGGGCTAAAACCAAAAATCATGGCCTTAGATATATTTTTGTGACCAAGATGTTACTTCATCTAATTCAAGGTTTTAAAACACATAACAATACATCAAAGGCTTTGATTCCCTTGATTCAGCTTGCGGCTATGACACTGACATAGCAAAAGTGTTTTGAAACACGTAACCCTCGTTTGATCTATGCTCTCTTTCATATGAGTTAGGGACTACACATTACAACATTTTACTAACAGTCAAATTTGTATCTTGTTTATTTTCTTCAAATCCTACCAGAACGCATGAAATAACTTCAAATATTCAACCATAATATTGAAACCTGTCTTTCAGTCCAATCAAAGTACCAAACCACCCAAAAAGTAGAACAGAAGAAAGAGCAAAACCGTACGTGATGGATGCTCCAAAGCTCTGACGAAGGTATGGGTGTTTGAACTTTGAATCTTCTTCAATTCATCTCTAACCAAAACCGACCAAAATTTTCAAGATTTTGCAAAAATCGGTATTGCTGTTTTCAGACGAGATGGGTAGTTTAGTTTCTTCAAGTTTTACCAAAAATCGGTAAAAAAGTTACTAAAGATAAACCAAATTAAGGAGTGTTTTGTCGAGCCAAAATCTGTTCTGTTTTTCAGTTAAGTTGATGTAGCTTTGTGTTTTTAGTTTCAGTGCAAACATCGCCCTTCCAAATTGTCTCCGTACTTTTGTTTTATTTTTTCCCAATTTGTGACATTGATGATATTAATGAGTAGTTTGATAATTTTACCAACCACCATATGTGCTGGATTTGAGTGTATATTTCTGAAAGTTTAAGACACAAGTTCAGGCCTCAAGTGTTACTAACTCCAAAGCCCAAAATGCAGGGTACCTATACGTAGTTTTTCCTAAAATTAATGGTTATATATGTTTCCAAAAGTAAAATATGACTGAAACATGTGTAAATTGTCTCAACTCGATTAATCCTTGTCATTTTACAAATAGATATGGCTTGGGATAGAGAGTTTAGATTTTTTTTTCCTGTTTTTTTGGGTAAAAGACTTAAAAACCTCCTTTAATGTTTCTCCTAAATACTAAAACCTCCCATCACCTTTCAAATTAAAACCTCCCATGTCAGAGTAATGTCTAACAGAATAGTAAAAAATCTCTTTCACCCCGCTTAATTCTTCAAATTTTCAAACTAAAGACTTTTATTTAACCCTTAAATTTACTCCCAATGGAAGGGTGGTTTTATTAATCAATATAAATACATTAATGGAATCTAATAGTACATTTTGCTTTTAATCACATTAATGGCATTCTTTTTAATTACAAGAATGCCACTCTCTCTTACCAATTCTTTTTCTTACTTTTTTTTCTTTCAAATTACAAGAATGTCACTCTCTTTTACTTTTTTTTCTTACAAATTACAAGAATGCCACTCTCTCTTTTTCCTTACAAATTACAAGAATGCCACTCTCCTATCAACTCTCTCTCCTTATAAATTACAAGAATGCCATTCTCTCTCTTGCCATCTCTCTCTCTCTCTCTCTCTCTCTCTCCTTATAAATTACAAGAATGCTACTCTCTCTCCAACTGAGGGAGACCTCAGCTCGGCATCTCGACTACTAAGGGACCTACAATCAAAGGTAGTCGAGCTCGAGCTCAAGTCTCTAATTCGAATCGAGCTCGAGCTAGAGGACACCTTGACCAAGCTAGACAACACCTCGGCCATTGAGGGAGACCTCGACTCAGCACCTTGACAACTGAGGGAGACCTCAGTTCGACACCTCGTCAACTAAGGGAGACCTTAGCTCGACATCTCGCTTGCTAGGGAAACCTCAACTCGACACTTCAGCAACTGAGGGAGACCTCGGTTATTGAGGGAGACCTTGGCTCGACACCTCAGCTGCTAGGGAGACCTTTGAGACCTACAATCAAAGGTCTCATGAACCTGATCGAGTGTGTACATAGGGTGTTACCTCGGCTCGGCACCTCGGGCATTGAGGGAGATCTCGACTCAGCACCTCGACAACTGAGGGAGACCTCAACTCGACACCTTGTCAACTAAAGGAGAACTCAGCTCGACACCTCGCCTGCTAGGGAAACCTCAACTCGACACTTTAGCAGCTGAGGGAGACCTCAGTTTGGTACCTCGACAATTGAGGGAGACCTCTGCTTGGAACCTCGACTTGGCACCTCGGCTGCTTGTGACCTGCAATCAAAGGTAGCCAAACTTGAACTTCCGAGCTTTTGGCTCGAGCTCAAAGTCTCTAATTTGAATCGAGCTTGAGCCTAATAGTTTATGAGCGAGCCCCTGCAATGCAAGGGCCCCTCTGCTAGTAGTTCTCAAAATTAAAAAAAAAAAACTATGGGGAGTGGGGGGCCATAAATACCTAACCCCTCTAGAAAAACTATATACAAAGAGATCCAACCCATCTATACTATAAACAATTGAACAAAGGACAAAGGGTAGAGGTTTTAGGGTTAATGATATGGTAACGCTTTTCCAAGGAATTGGTTTTAACATCCACCATGAATTAGACCATATAGGAGCAAAAATCAGTTTGGGAAAATAATCAATTGAATCTCAATACTTTGAACTATGAAGTTTTCACCAAACATTGTCTTTTAACAGGTTTTCTGCATGAACTCTACCTCCTACAACCAAAAACAGCAAATGAAAGCCCTTCTGGATGGACTCTACCTCCTAAAATCGAAAACATCAAATGAAAGCCCATCAAAGGGGCACTTCATATGGAGTTGGGATATGCTGATTATAAACACATTCCTGACCACATTCATCTGGCTGCACATTGGGAGCATCCTTGTACTTTGTATCAATATTGCAATTTGTGGTCAGTAGATTCAGACTCCATGTAAGTGGAGTTGGTTGATTGAACACCTTTTGTTAAGTCAACTATCACAAGGGTTGCATTTTTACTTAACAAATACTAAAACCTCTCCTATTAGCGAGGTGAAGTCATTGGATAAATATTACTACTACATATTATGTGTTTGGTTTCCTTTATGCTTAAGTAAACGTTTTGTACTTGTATGACTATAAAACTGAGAAAAGTAATTAATAAGGGCGTTTATAATACATAGGCACCATTAGGCACCACATCGGTAAAGGTTCTTATGTGGCAACATTTACTCAATAAACGTAAACGAAACTAAATACATACTTAATCTCCCATCATGATTTGTTTGGATGTGATGTCTTTGTCTTTGGTATTATCAAGGTTCAAAATATCGATATGCCCAATACGTCGGTATGGGCATATCGGGCGAATCGATAAAGCTTTTGGTACTTTTTTTTTTTTTACATTTGGTTCAAGGGAGCCGGTTTAGGCCTCCTCTACACCCTGAATTGGTCAGACCCCCGATACACCCACTGTAGAAGCATATTGAAGGGGTCCCAGAACGATACGTATCAACCGATATAGACTGATACATGTCGATACTTTGAACCTTAGGTATTATTTTGAAAACCCAATGCTCAACAATATTTGGATAGAAGATGACTATTGACTGTTTACTGTAAGATGATGATCCATCTTGAAGATGTGAACAACTCATCCAGCAATGCAATAAAGCGATGATAGATAATTATTCTCTTTATGTAGCATATTCTCATATTTGGAGGTAAGGAAACCAGCGGCTGACTGGCTTGCAGTTGCAGACTTGGGAGTTCATAATAGTGTAATTTTCTTTAAAGATGTTCCGTGGGACCTTTCCTACATATGTACCATGAACATATGGGGAAGGGCTTCTCCTCGTCAAGTACAAGATTAGAAATTGTAAAGTTAAATAATTTTGCATTTTTATGAATCAGATATATTTGTATTTGCATTGAACATTTTTTTTTGTATTTGCATTCTTTCCAAATGGAGCCACAATTGGTCCCTTACAATAAAAAAAAGGGTTAAATACTTAAAGT